TGAGTGACCAGAGTGACCAGTGAGTGACCACTGAGTGACCACCAAGTGACCATCGACCTGCCCGAGTGACCAGAGTGACCAGAGTGACCAGTGAGTGACCAGAGTGACCGGAGTAACCACCGAGTGACCATCGACCTGCCCGAGTGACCACTGAGTGACCAGAGTGACCAGTGAGTGACCACTGAGTGACCACCAAGTGACCATCGACCTGCCCGAGTGACCAGAGTGACCATCGACCTGCCCGAGTGACCAGTGAGTGACCAGAGTGACCAGTGAGTGACCATCGACCTGCCCGAGTGACCACTGAGTGACCACTGACCACTGAGTGACCACCGAGTGACCACTGAGTGACCATCGACCTGCCTGAATGACCAGTGAGTGACCACTGAGTGACCAGAGTGACCAGTGAGTGACCATCGACCTGCCCGAGTGACCAGAGTGACCACTGAGTGACCACCGAGTGACCACTGAGTGACCATCGACCTGCCTGAATGACCAGTGAGTGACCACTGAGTGACCAGAGTGACCATCGACCTGCCTGAGTGACCACTGAGTGACCAGAGTGACCAGAGTGACCATCGACCTGCCCCAGTGACCAGAGTGACTGCTGAGTGACCACTGAGTGACCAGTGACTACCGAGTGACCACGGAGTGACCATCGACCTCCTCGAGTGACCATCAACCTGCCTGAGTGACCACTGAGTGACCACTGAGTGACCAGAGTGACCATCGACCCCCGACCTGGTCATTGACCTGCCTGACTGACCACTGACCACGGAGTGACCACCGAGTGACCACAGAGTGACCATCGAGTGACCATCACCCACCCTGAACTGGCCGTCGACCTCTTGAAGTGACCGACTGACCACTGAGTGACCACTGAGTGACCACTGAGTGACCACTGACCAAGTGACCACCGAGTGACCACTGAGTGACCACTGAGTGACCACTGGTCATCAGCACCCCAGAGTGACCCTTCCCCAACTGGTCATGGAGCTCTTGGAGTGACCACTGAGTGACGGCTGAGTGACCACTGAGTGACCACTGACCACTGAGTGACCACCGAGTGACCACTGAGTGACCACTGACCACCGAGTGACCACTGAGTGACCACCAAGTGACCACTGAGTGACCACTGACCACCGAGTGACCACCGAGTGACCGCGGATCGAGGCAGAAGCACCGAAAGATTTTGGGGGGAAATTTGGGAATTTTGGGAGTCAAAAAACGCCAAAAAACTGAGGAAAAAAATTGGAAATTTTGGGAAAATCCCGACGGAATTCGGGAGGAAAAAAATCCAGGATTTCAAAAAAGGAGAAAAAACCGAAAATTTGGGAAAAAATCTGAAATTTTGGGGAGAAAAAATGGAATTTTAGGAGGAAAAAATGGAATTTTTTTGGAGGAGGAAACGGAATTTTGGGTGGAAAAAAAGGAATTTTGGGGAAAAATGCAAAATTTGCTTTGAAAAATGAAATTTTGGGGGGAAAAAGATGAAAAATGGATTTTGGGCAGGAAATAAAAAGATTTTTTTGGGAAAATTTTAGGATTTTATGGAAAATTTGTGGTTTTAGGGAGGTAAAAAATGTGAATTTTTGGGGAAAAATGAAAATTTTGGGGTAAAAATTTTAATTTTGGGAGAAAATTCTTGAATTTTGGGCGAAAAATTCCAAATTTGGGTTTAAAAGCCTCGATTTGGGGAGGAAATTTTTAAATTTTGGGGCAAAATTCCCAATTTTGAGTCAAAATTTCTCAGTGTGGGCTCCGGATTTTTTGATTTGGCACCAAAAAAATTCAAATCTGAAGCAAAAATTTCAATTTTGTGTCAAAAATTCCAAATTTTTTGTGGAAAAATCTTAATGTTGCATTAAAAAAATTTTGAATTTTGGGGGTAAAGTTTCCAAATTTTGGGGGAAAAAATCTGAATTTTGGCCTAAAATGTCAATTTTGGATTTAAAAATGTTAATTTTAGGTGAAAATTTGTCAATTTTGGGTCAAAAAAATCCCAAATTTGGGGCAAAAATCCCAAAATGTGTGGGAAAAAAATTTCAATTTTAGGTCAAAATGCCAATTTTGGTTTAAAACCTTAAAATTTTGGGTCAAAAAAATCAATTTTTGGTGAAAAATTCTGAATTTCGGGGTCAAAAATGGGAATTTTGGGTCCAAAAATTCTCAATTTTGGGGGAATGAAAAAAATCTCAATTTTAGGTCAAAATGCCAATTTTAGTTTAAAACCTTAAATTTTGGGTAAAAAAAATCAATTTTAGGTGAAAAATTCTGAATTTTGGGGTCAAAAATCGGAATTTTGGGCCCAAAAATTCCCAATTTTGGGGCAAAACCCCCAAATTTTCTTGGGAAAAATTCAATTTTGGAGCCCAAAATTCAATTTTGGGTGAAAATTTCGGAATTTTGGGTCAGAACCTTTCGGTTTGGGGTCAAAAATCGGAATTTTGGGTCCAAAATTGTCCCAATTTTGCTCCAAATGCGATGACGTCATCACTGCTCGGCCCCGCCCCCTCCCTCCCCAGCCAATCCCAGCCCTCCTCACACAAAGTGGGCGGAGCCTGTTTTGACGTCCAATGTTTTTATTGGTCGGCCCCGCCCCTTCCCCCGTTTGGGGGCGGGGCTTGAAGAGGCGGGGAAATGGGCGGGGCTTGGGGTGGGGGAGGGGATTTGGGGGAGCCCCTCCCCCCTCACCAGCCCTGGC